GTTAACTGGTTTCAATTGAATTGCAATTTTTAGAGATTTAATTTACACGGAAGAGACGTTTGCACCACTGACAGCAGCTGTCAACGTTTCCGAAACATTTATATATAATTTAATTTTGGTACAGGAGTTTCACATTACATAACCCAACAGTTTTCAATGGCTCTCCATTAGAATAATTTAGGAAATGTATATGGGTCTTCAGTGAGCACATAACTCTGACTTCATAGTGTGTGTTGTGTGTGTATCCAGGTGTGGTGAGCATGGTGAGTGTATTATCCAGGTGTGGTGAGCATGGTGATTGTATCCAGTTGTGGTGAACATGGGGAGTGTATCCGGGTGTGTGGTGAGTGGTGACAACTTACACATGCACGGTGGTGTTGCCGGGAACCTGCTGCGCGAGCGTGGCCTCCAGGTAGAGGGCGCTGTGCGCGCCGACGCCCACCACGCCGCCGCTCTGCATCACGCCCAGCGACAAACTGCACAATACATTTCATAGCCCATAGCAAATTCTTTCGCTTTCTGATTTTTTTAATCATAAGATAACTACTGCCTAAAGCACATGTATTTCTCTATCTTCCTTTAATAACGAAGGTGAGAGAAATAGGATATTTCCCCTTTGCATCTAAAATTCGTCAAATCCACTTCCTCTTTTCATCCTTTTATGGAAGAATGAGATGGGAAGAGCAAGAGGGGTAAAGTCAGTGAGCAGACAAAGGATGATAGCAATTTCACGAATTATGTTGAAACAAGTTTTTAGACAGTAATTTTGACAAAAACAAGAGTTTAAAATATTTTTCTAAAAACTTCATGAGCAAGCGTTGGTAACGCCATGTCATGTCTATATTGGTAAAAAAAATATACAGCATAATTATCAATGTCTTACACGTCCGTGTGGTCGTGATGCGGCTGGTGATAGTCAGTGTACGGCGGCGGCGCGCGGATCTCGCCCTCCGCGCAGCGCGGCACCAAGATAGGTGGCAGAGCTGGACACCAAAATAACAAATAAGTCCATAACTAGTACTTAGAAAAATGCTTATTTATGACAACAATCCACAATAGGCCAGCATCTTTTACTAAGGTCTAGTCACCCCAAGATAGACTATCGGCTGGCAACCTTCAGTGGGGATGTACATTAAACCAGTCATCAGAATCAGAATAAGTTAAGACATTGAGTTCAGCTTAACTACCATTGGCTGTTCAAGAAGTACTACAAGACACTTAAAACAATGTGCTATATGTCAGCAATAATCTTTGACTCTAATTGTACTTCTATACTAATATTGTAAAGAGGAAAGATTTGTATTTTTGTATATATTGAAATAAATCAAAACCTACTGAGCTGATTTCAAAAATTCATTATTGGTAAGCTATATTACCACTGAGTAATACAGGCTATATTTTTAAATTTTACATGGACGAAGTTGCGAGCAACAACTAGTATTCAATAATCTTCCTAATCACTTAATATTAATTGATGAAATTCTTACCGGGCGAATCAATTTTATTGTAATGATAAGGGTTGATGCACACTTCGTCCTTTTTCAACTGGTATGCATAAATACAGTGGTCGACTGGTTTTAATTCATGCTGACTCTGAAAAAATATTTAAAAAGTTAAAGTAGCATCATCATCATCATCATCACCAGCTCACTGTATGTCTACAATAAGGGGCTCGAAACATTTCAAGTTAGGGGGTGACTAGTAGTTCAATTCAAGTAAAAATATATAATAGAACTTATGTATACTGACTGAACACTAAACCACATTGAAACTATAATAATACTTTTTACAGACAAAATAAATAGTGCAAAAACAGTATATGTTGTGTTCAATGTCATTTATATAAATTGAGTTGAACCAAAATGGATAAGATACATTTAAACACAAAGGCAACCTTGGAGTAGTTGAGTAGTGTAAATTTTGTTGTGCTATTCCAAACAAAGTACATATAAAACAAGTCACTATTCAAATATCATGTTTTTGGATTTCATTGCCACAGTAAAGGGATCAATTAATCATTTCACATGAAAAGTTTTAGAGTAAAATCATGAAACAACACAAAAGAGGTCTAAAATTTAATATCACATGTAATAAAATAAATATGCACAAATTTTCTTTTTGACTTTGTACAAAAATTAAAACATGTGATAACCAGAGAGGGGCTCAGGGTCAAAAAGTTCCTAAAACCTCTAGAAAGATTAATGGATGACCCTAAGATGCAAATTAGTCTATTAGTTCCTTCTTATAACTCCAAAAACTAGAATGTCATAACTGAAATGTCTTTAAATAATATTGTATAGGTTTTTTTAAATGAACTAACTTGTAGCTGCGGCCAGCGCCACAGCCTGCAGTAGATAACATGCGGCAACCCCTTTCTGTATTGACCATTCACGAGGTTCTCACTAGGCTTCGCTCTGCAATAATACAAATATCTAATTAGAGTAATAACAGTGCAAAATAGTAATAGTAATTTAATGAATATTTGTTAAAATAACATTTAACTAGCTTTTGCCCATGACTATGTCCTTCATAATTTAAAAATAAAATAGTATATCTTGTTCCAGACTATGACATCTATGCCTAATATCATTGACATTCATAATGTGGAGATATGTAGTAAAAAACATCTATCCAAACATTAAAATTTGTATTATAAATTATGATGTATGGATTGCATAATTTTGTGCCTATCCTTCTATGTTCAACGTTACATGCTATTGTCAAATACATCATGGTATTGCTGTATTATTTTTGGCACTCTCACTTATATATCTTATCAATAAGATAACATACATATATTTAAGATAAGAGAAAGTCTCTATCTTAAGAATTATACTAAAAGTAAGAAATGACACTATTATCACTATGATACAATTTGCAAACTTGATGAATAGAAAAAGATCTTCTAAGTAAATGTTTTTAAGTCAAAATCTTCTAATAAACCAATATCACATCACTGTTCACTTTACAAAATAAGATTTGGCAAAAAAAAAATCACCACACATTATCACCAACTCACTACATATGTCCACTAAGGGGTAAACTTAAGTCAACTTAACTAAACTTAAGTTACGAGTTACAACACAATTATTGTGCAACAGTGCAAAAAACCATATTAAAATTCTTATTTTTTTTTTAATAACGTTAAAATATTAACACTACAAACAATTGAACTACGAGAATGCGTGCAATTAATTTCAAAATCAGAATTATTTAAACAAATGATATTTTTTCCAGTTGTCACATATTCTAATAAGAAATAAACCTAATCAATAACCAGCCTAAGAATTACTATTTTAATATCCAAACAAGAAACTAATAAGAAAATAATACAAAACGCTTCCTTTAGATAAATTTCGATTCCTAATTACGACTGAATAGTTTAAACCCATTGTAATATACAGTTTTAAATAATTTATTACCTGTGTTATAGACGAAAACGAGTTACTATGGTACGTGAAATATACCTAATAAACTAAATTCTCTCTTCAAGCATTAAAACTTGCACATGTTATGGTAAATTGACAAAAATCTCGTGCGGAAACTAAAAAAGCCGAGGTCCAAAATTCGCCGCCATATTGATAAAAAAGCTTCGATTGTTTTGACGGCGATTTGACCTTCCTTTTTGGATTTTGCGTCCTGTCTATGGTTATGTAACTAAAATACGATGGTCATTGAATTCTACGGGGTCAATGTGCTTTTAGCTCTTTGCTTTTTAGCAAGGTTATATTCTACGAATGACAGTAATTATGAATAATTAATAATTAAGTTTCTTTAAACGCGAATTAAATACGCCCGCGCTTATAAGAATTCCAATTGGTACTTATTTCTAAGTATTTAACATAATTTTCTAACATTATGGATATTACTAACTTTTCCTAGTTAAGTTACATTTGAGTAATTTACTATTTTGTATTACTCATATCCTGATTGTTTGAAATTTGTGTGTCTATTACTGAAACTATTTGGTAATAACAATGATAAATGGAATTTCCGGTTGTGAACAAAAAACAACAAACATGAAAAATAACAAGGTTTTATCGCTTTATGCCACTATATACAAGTTTAGACCGGGAGGCAAAATTTAAGCAATCAAGGTCATTGTTAGACATACCAAAACGTTTGTTATCAAAATAAAAATAAAGCAATCAATAAATAACCTGGGAATTGTGACGCATTTAGTATGACTACTTTGACTAGTAATAGCCTTTTCTAACTCCTCGAGAGCCTCACTTTTCTTTAATTTCTTAACTAAACTTTTTACAGCCTTTTCTGACCATTTATCTTCTGCGGCAGATGATCCTTCTGGACCCTTTTTCCACTCTAGAAGACGTTTCACTACTGGCGGTGTTCGCGGAAACATTCCGCCAAATTTCACTTTTTAAGTCATTCACGGAAACTAATTTACATTAGATTAACAAATAATGCACACTTTTTTTATTTACACATATATTCTATTTAAATTAACTTATCGGCCATTACAATTTGCAAATATGATTAACAGAATAGATAGAAAAATGACAGTAAAGTTGCCAATCACAATCAATCGTTATACTTGAAAGATTTCCTGTAAATCAATGATACAATTTTAAATCACTATTGAAAACATTTTGTACTCCTTTTTCTTTAAAGTCTATAATTAATATTCCCAAATTCATTAAACATTTATATCTATAAATTTTTTTATGTATCTGTCATATTATAATTTTTAGAAATAAAAAGGTCCTTAACGTAAAATCGTTTTGAAAGTATAGCGGTTTATAAAATCAAATTTTTCTATGTATAAACAAAACAATAAACATTTCCCAATAAAATTGAAAAATCAAGCTAGCTTATTATTTATTTTATAAACCAAAAATAAAATAAATGGTTGATTTTGATAGTTCCGGTGTTTTCTGTTTTCAATAGCAACAATTATTGTCTATGATAAACAGTGGTTGGTGTTTACAGCAAAACCAATTGTACAGAAGTTTAAGGAAAACATCTGAAGGTTTCGAAAGGTAAAATTCCTTCGGACGAAAATAAGGGTTTTTTTAGAGAAATATTAAAAGGATAACAAACTACATGATAAAAGTTTTAATATTCTATCATTTTTAAAAGTATCTAGATACGCGACAAAATTTTCTAGATTTCATAATATATTGATAATACTACATTATGGGCAAATAATTTTGAATTTAACCTTTTAAATTTAACAAGTTATCCACATAGAACAAAATAATTTTAGCACGGAGGTTTTTTACCAAAATTAAATAATCGGGACATTACTTTTGTATATGGTAGCACTGTTTTTGTTTTGAAATGCCATCCGGTTTTGTTTGTTTTGTTTCAATTGTTAATTTTTGATGTGCCAGTTGCTGAAAATTCATTTGCTTTATTACGGTAATATATTATTTGGTTAGTACCTCAATTTCCTACTATTTAATAGTCTTATTGAGCTGATATTCAAAATGTATTCCTATTTTGTACTGTTACTGGCCATCATTGTTGTTGTAGTGGCCTGTCACAAAACTATATTTTAATTTTCCCGCTTTGACTTTTATAGCTTGGCTGGAAATCTTCGTGAATTTTCAATTTAAGATAAATAATTTTTTTCTTAATTGATTTCATTTCTTTTTATTGTTGCTTTATTTTTCCTTTTATTTTTTTTTATTTTATTTAATAATCCCCATAATGTAATGTTTCCATTGCTATGCAATAACAAAATGGCCAATGCCTTGAAATTTGATATTAAATATTATGATTTTCGAATAAAATAAAAAGGGAATTAAAAAATACTGTACTTACTCATTATTGCCTTAGTTTTTTTGGTGTATTTAGCTGGTTTTCTTTCATTGTTTGTTAATTATAAAACTGCTTAGGTATGGCTTTCAACAAAAATCCTTTTATATATAGCATTTAATGGATTTTACAGTTCTATAAATGTATTATTAAATTCCTTAATTGGTTTAATACATTTAACTCTTTGCTTACTGCAAGTTGCATTAACTCAAAATTGTTAAAATATAGATCAAGTTACATTCTAATCTAGCTATTACTGGGACATTATAGGCAACTCAAAGCTAAATTACAAATAACAAGCGACATACTTCATTACAATAAGGTTTATATTTTGTACAAGGAAATAGATTATTTCCCCCCCACACATTACTACAGTATAATTTAAATAATTAATATTTCTACTCATAGAAAAATAAGCTTGGTGTCATAAGATATATGAAAAGATACAATTAAATTTTCAGCTTAACTAAGCATGGAACCGCAGCTTCCACCATTAATACTTTGTATGGAGAACATGAATGGAGAAGAAGTATCGCTTAGTATTGGACCCAATGATGATTTCCAAACCTTTCTGGATAAAGCCAAGTACCTTTCCTTTATTCCTTATCCTTTGTGATTTTTCCTATCCTATAAAAAACTATGACCATAGTTTATTTATTAATGAAAAAACGCTTGTAATTAAAAGAAAGTTACAGAGTAAAATATGTATGCTTTCTCCATTTACAATGATGAATAGCCTTTTAGTGTTATTTTTTTTAAATAGTATCTAGCGTTTCTCTATTCCAGGTCTACTCTAGGTTTCGACGTAGACATAAACTCGATTACTGGCGACCAATCTGTATCATTGAATGAAAATATTTATCATTACCTTCTTAATTCAGAACTGAACTATCAAACCGATCCACAATTAGGTACTGAAAATTTCCAACGTACATCAGAACAGGGTACACATAGTCCCGATGGTTTTGTATACGTTTTAGACGACGGCACACAAATACGAGCATCTCAGATACATTTCGATAATGAAGATCCTCCTTTAGATCTGACAGCTGAACAAATACCATTTGTTAAATACGCCAATGATAGTGCCGATGAAAACGAAATCGATGATCAAAGTATTGAAAATACTAAAAAAATAAACATCGTTGAAAGTCCCGTTAAACGTTGGGAAAGTAGAAATTCTAGTCCTAGATGCAGTTTCGTTAATAGTTTACCATTTAAATTAGTTTGTTCTAATACATCCAACTTCGAAGCACAATTTACTAAATATTTAGAATCAAGTACGACAAAAACATTCACCACTCTGAACCCGGTTACTAATAGAAATAAATCCCCAAAAAGTCTGATAAGGGATAATTACAAAAATTACGATGAAAATTATCAAGCTCAGAGTAAAGATGATTTCGCAAGTTATACACGAGAAGAAATACTCAATATGTTTAAAGACTCGCCCGTCGCATCATTGCCTTACGAAGAGAATCAAAATCACAACGAAAAAAGACGCCATGTGCGTAAAACGGATCCATCTAGACTTCATAAAAATTGGAACAACAGACCTTACGTAGACGTTAAACCTGGAGAGAAAGGTAGACAAAACTGTTTCATTTGCGGTAAAATAGATAATAACGTGGAAAAGTTGTATTTATTCGATAACGAGGACCAAAAACTACACAGATGTACATCACCGAGAAATTATCCGACTCAACTGAAAATAATATGTGATCATTGTTTGGCTGAAAATTTTAAACCCAGTCGTATGAAAAGTCCTACACAATCACTTAGTTCTGACGAATTCTTGGTCATTAAAAACAACCAGCAATTCATATTTCAGAAGGTTATTGATTTTAAAGTTGCTCCAATTTCGGAAAACATTGATAAAAGGGACCAAAACCTGGAGGATTTACAGGACAATGAGAAAGTTGAATTTGTTAAAGTAGAAATAGGTTCCGACGGTGAAATTGTAACGAAATGTATTGATAATGATACTAGATCTTCAGATGACGTTATTATTGTGAAAGACGAGAAGAAAGAGAGTTCCAGTGATGTTGAAATTATAGAAAATGAACCAGATATCGACGATCATATTATAGATAATTTGGAAGAAGCAGATGACGATGTTAAAGAGTTTTTAGGGAAATATCACTGCGATGATGAATCTGAGATAAAGGAATTGAAATGCAGGTTCGTTTTGCGTCTGTAAACCATCGCTTATAAACATATTCTTCCAGATTATGTTCTACATTTGTGCTAAATTTCATCGAGATCCGGTCAATTCTAGAGATTTCTAATAAACACCCATTCATCCATCTACATATGGTTAATAACATACTAATATTATAAATCCGAAAGTTTTGATGGATGGATATTTTAGAGTTTGTAGCCTTAACTGATTAAATTTGATATAAATGTAGAGGATATTCTGGAAAAACACATAGGATACTTATTTTTTAATTCCACGCGGATGGAGTCGTGGACAAAAGGTAGTTTATAAAATTTCGGAGTAGAATTATATCAGGTAATTTTTAGGTTCTGTGACCGCATCTTTGAAGAAATCGATCAAGTAATAGAACATGGTGAAGAACACAAACATAACTTAGACGATGGAGAAGTATTCCCTTGCCCATTGTGTGATTACGGTATTATTTATATTTTTATGTATGTAGTTATCAAGACGTAATAGAATTTATTTCCCTATCCACTTAAAATTGTAGTACATAGTTTATATTACATTGCAGCGTGGGTGATGTCAGCTGATGTTCTAGACTAGTTGTAGGGGACATCTTCCATTAAGATGGTTTTATTCAAAGTAGTTTTAAAGTCTATTTTACATTACTCGACCCTTTTAGTGGAGGGCCTTTGGACCCCCTCTCCCAGGAATGTTTTAAAAGTACGTTAGTTGTGTTGCCTTAACAATATTTTACATGACCCAGCATTCAACAGTTTTGAACCTTAATTCAAAGTAAAGATTTGTTGCTTTACATTTGAGGCTTTTATATTTTCTAAGTTGGATAAAAATAAAGATAGCTTTACTTACCTTATGACAAAGTACAACTATTTAAACACTTTTTCTAGGTTATTCTAACTTTAAGTGGTTAAAAGGGCATCTTAAAGCGGCCCATGATAAGACTAAAATTACAGAAATAAAAGATGAAGGTGATAACGATGGAGAAAAAGGTATGTTATTAGTTATTGACAATGGATTTCACTTTTGAATTTTACAACATTTAGCGCTTGTCCCACGACTAGCTGATACAGGCTCAGATAGCTTAAAAATAACATCAGTCACATAGAGTACCAAAATCAGGTAGTTCCATCGCACATTTTACACGTTAGATTGTTATCAGACAATTTACATCGGTGGGACATGCTCTTAACCAACAAAAGTAAATAAATAAAGCTATAGAGTCTAGTTACCGGTTAAACTTGGAATGATACAGTTCTATGTTCAATTTCAATTGAAGAATTTAACCTGTTCAATTTGAACTAAGCTTATATAGCGTTCTTTAAGTATACGTGATAATTCAAAACTTGTACCTTAGATAGATACGTCATGTATCAAAAAAAATTATCTCTATGTTTTTTTTTTCAATACAGATGTTAAAACATCTCCGTCTTCTTCACCAGTCGCTAAAAGAACTAGAAGTGCAATAAAAAAGGTTGAAACGGAAAGTGAAAAAGGTCAGTCTTGATGTACTACCAATATTGAAGTGAAAGTTTGGATGGATGGATGTTTGTTACTATATATCTCCAGAACTGCTTAGCGGATGTTGATGAAATTTGGCATAGATATAGAAGATAGAATACATAGGGTTATTAACCTAAAATTACTAAAGCTTGTATTTATAAAATACAGGGACATAGTTGATATATTATAAAAAAATCAGTTTCAGTATTCTATGCAATATTTGGTCAACAATCGAATCAGTTGTAGGCAATTGTAGACCTGGTATTTCCATTATCCAAAATTTAGTGATCTAAACTTCCATACTAATATTATAAAGAGAAGAGATTTGTATTTTTGGTTGTATTGAAATAACTCAAAAGCTATTCCAAATTCAAAAATTTTTTCACCATTAAAAAGCTACGTTATCAGTTACACATTTTTTATTATTTTTTTAATTTCACGCGGGTGAAGATTGTTGCCATATTGGTAGATTTTTTTACATATTACATATTATATCTGTTTTTAATTTAATTTCTCACAATCCAGCGTCCCCGGAGAAGATTGAACGCACGAACAATATAACTACGAAACTTGAATCTGTTAGTATACATTTTGTATTGAGTAGTTCGATATTTCAGATCTTTTGGTAATAATCTTCAGTTATTAATAACGCAAATACGATGGATTTTTTTGCAACTTAAATTACTGGTAGAAATATCTATATTCTATACCATTGCGAAGATCCCTCGTCATCACCCTTTGGCCACGGCTGGATGACCGCAGTCTAGGTTTTAGTTTTTTATTTAACCTTTTGTTAGTCGTACGGTACTAGCTAACTGAGCGTTATTAGAGCGGGCGTATACCTTTGACTAAATTATCGCACAACTGTTGTGCGATTGTCGATTGTTTCAGCCAATTCAACTATTTATATGCACAACTAAAAATCAATTAATGTGTCCATATACGCGGAAAAACCAATCATATGGTTTAAGCGGAGCCATATTTGTGTGTTTTGAATTGTGTTTTTTGTAAAATTCTCAATAAAAAAAAATAGGACCCACCTGCAAGCATTACCTTTCGGATAAAAAAAGAATTATCAAAATCGGTCCACTAGCGGCGGAGTTATGCCGTAACACACATAAAAGTTAGCGAAAGTTTAGACAAAGATGTCCGCATGTTCTTAGTTCCAGCCGTAGGATTGTCATAGGATTTGTTGTCAATTTAAATTAATAATATTTAGAACGGATCGACGTTAACTGTGAATACGGAGGTGAAGCAGGAATGTTTGGACAGCAGTGACGATGAAGCTATCTGGATCGTACAGACTGTTGGCCACGAGCCATCCGAGCAACTGGAGAATTTGCTGAAGGTAGCCACGGTAAGTGGTTGAAGCCAATGAGAGTCTGTTGTAGGGTGCAGGTCTTGGTAAGGCGAAAAAGCTCCAGAAAATAGTTTTTTGTATACTTACGAAAATGTTGTTCAATGTTTCCATAAAAATGCAATTGTTTCATCTATCCTGAAACTGATGTATGTCGTTTGATTTAGTGAAACTTTGTGGCATTGCATGGAATTGATATGAGAATTCCAATGTCATCAATTGTCCTGTCCAGGATAAAATTGTAAAAATTTAAGCAAATTATTCATTGCCAATGTTTACTTTATTAAACATCATCATCATCAGCTCCCTACATGTCCCCACCGAGGGGCTCGGAGCCTACCCTAATAAGGGGTGACTAGGCCATAGTCAACCACGCTGGCCCACTGCGGGTTGGTTGACTTCACGCATATCTTTGAATTTCTTCTCCGATATGTGCAGGTTGCATCACGATGTTTTCCTTCACCTCACTTATTAAACATGATAAAAATATAAAACTAATTTTCAGGGCGAAGACAGAGATGAAAAAAATAGAAAGAAACATAAATGTAACAACTGCAGGTATATATTAGTCTGTATTGAATTATTAAAGAGTAAAATATAAGCTTAAAGAATATAAGGCTTGAGTATTATTTGTAATAATTCAGTGTATACTTTCAGCCAAATATTTCCAACTGCGGAAAGCCTAATTTCCCACAAATGTCGTCGCCGAGGACGCAAACGAAGAGTCCCTACTAAAGATGACTCGATCTTACTGGTACCTTCTGAAGAGGACTTTCTGAGGGTAGGAAAGAAAAATTACAATAAATACTGACCGAATTTCAATTCTACCCACATGTTTATACTATAGGTTTCTCCCTCTATTTCAAAGAGGATAAGCGAGATGATATTGTTAACATAGTTTTTTTTAATTGTTTGCCTTTTAAGTCAATATGTTTAGAACTAGCTTTCGCTCGCGACTCCGTCCGCGTGTAATTAAAAAAAGAACAGTAAGTAGCCTGTGTGTTCTTCCAGATCTCCTACATCTAGGCCAATTTCATCGGGATCCGTCCAGCCGTTTAGGCTACAAACTCTAACAAACATCCATCTAAACTTTCGCATTTATAATATTAGTAAGATTTCATTTTCAGAGGGCACAAGGAAGACCTAAACAAAAGCAACCAGACGACAACGATTTGCTGGTTGTTGTAAGTAAATAAACATTATTAGTTGTGTTAATTACCTTTACTATTCTAAAATAACTAACCATTTGTTATAGAGACCACGTAAAAGGAAGAACCGCGAGCCGACCTCTGATCCTCAAATCGTTACATGTCACAACTGCAATGAATCATTTACTTCTAAAGTTAGACTCAAGTTTCACATGTGAGTACATTATGAACTCTAAGCTACAAGATTTAAGTATTAATAACAGAAAAAATCGTTTGTCTTATGCTTTTCATCATCATTCCTACCTTATCCTACTTCCGTAGTGGCGCACCGGGTTTTCCTTCAAATAACTCTATCATACGGCATCTCAGTCTTCACTACCTTCTTAAACATGTCACCTTTCACGCAATCCCATCTCTTTCTAGGTCTACCTCTACCCATGCAAATTCCTTTTGTGTTTTTACTAGGCAATTCCATGACTCAACCAATCTTTTGACTCCCGAGGGTCAATACGCATGTCCGGAATGCGAAGGCGCACATTTCCCTACAGAGAGCGAGCTTTTCGATCACGTACATTTCCAGCATCATAAGCAAAAGCGTTGGCAATGTCCAGTAGAAGATTGCGGCAAGACTTTCTATCTTAGGTAAGAAAATACTTTACCTACTGATTTAAAATACAGCTACATGTTCTAGTGTCTATTTTTTTATAAGGTGGCAAATGAGCAAGTGGCCAACTGAAACCGCCGAACTGGCGAAGCGACAGCTACCCATCCGCTATTGCAGATGCGTTGCCTACACTCAACTGAAGGAGAGGCACATAAAGAGGATTTTTCACTTTCCTATGCGTCTTCTCCACCGTCAAATAGACTTTTTCTTCTCGCCCTCTTAAAAAAAAAAGGAAATGGAAAGGGACTAAAATTAGACCTCTGGCACCACACTCATTTGACGAAACGTGAAATTGCTTCCACTTCACGGATGTCTTCTGTGTGGTCGTGGTATTACCGAGCGAGTTGGCGCATTCGTGCGAAGATGTTAAAGCGGGCTCTACCACTGTTTGTATTTCAGAGCAACATTAACAAAGCACAGTCGAACACATACGGACACGCGACGTTACGTGTGCGTCACGTGCGGGAAACGATTTCTTGACAAACAGACTCTTGATGAGCATGGAGTTACACATCTTCAGGTATTCATTCTTACTTCATTAATATATTTTATGCTACAAACTTGCCTTGCTATTTCCCCTAATCTAATGTAATAAATTGTACAAACTGTGTTATGTAAGATGTCAGCATGCACAGCATGTTTTTGAATCACTTTTTTATGATTAAAATTCCTAAATTAACGACATGCTACGACATATAGGCTATACATTTTCGCGCTATTTAATTTAGGGATTGAATAAATTGATAAAAATGGCTATGCGGGAAAAAAAAACCAAATCAAGCCAATATCAGCAAACAAACAAGATTGTTATAGTAATTGTTAGTATTGACTAAGGCTATTGAACCTTCTTTTGTGCAAGTCTTTTGATTTGAAAGTCTTACAAATGTAAACACTATGATAAAGTTTCTATAATTTTACGCGAAAACACGAGTCATCATTATCATCTCCCTACTTATCCTATTCCCGTAGATCGCAACAGGTTTCTGTCCTGCACAAGCACGGGTACAGCTAGCAAAAAAACACACACAGACAAAATAATTGCAAAGCTTATTATTGCATATACAACTTGTTCTAGATAAAGCCGTTCCAGTGCCACATTTGCTTCAAGCAATTGACACGTCGTTCTCGTCTGCGGATGCACCTCCGAGCGCATGAAGAGGAGCTGGCACCGCGGCTGGTGCTGGTCTGCGCCGCGTGCGGCAGGGCCTTCCGCGACACTGATGATGCACAGGTAACTATCGAGCTGGTGAAAGGTTAGATGGAAAACCAGCTGGAATATAAAGTACACGAAGTAGTATAACATACTAACTTTCAGCGATTCCGTCTGGAAATAAAAAAAAAAAACAGTAGGTCTTTCTTTTTCAAGACTGTCCTTTACATCTATGCCAATTTATTGAGATTCGTGGACCGGATTAGGCTCGTAACTCTAACAAACATTCATAGTAAGAAGTAATGTTCTTAATAATATTTTATGTGCATATCTTCCTTTGTTAATTAAGGGTAGGCAACGCATCTGGAATTTCGGAATCTTTTTGGCGAATTTATATCTGTTTTATATTTAAAGATTCCCTGGTTCGTACTACATGTATATACAATTGGAACAATAATAATAATAAAATAGGTGCATTTAAACAAACTTGTTAGAAAGTGGTTATAATACAGGACCACGCTAACAAATCAAAAGAGTGCATAGAACAGCT